CGGCGTCGGGCTGGGCTGGGCTGCTCTTGGGCTGCGCGGCCGGCCGTGGCGGCGACTCCTCGGGGAGGGGGAAATAAACGCGTTTGGTGGCGGGGGCCTGCGCCTGCCGCGGGTGCCCGTGTGCATGCTAATGGTGCGGGCACGCCTATCCGCAGGGGACGGGAGCTCCTCGCTGGCTCTTCGGCTGTCACCGCGTGTGCACGTGGGGCGTGTTACACGCTCCCCGCCCGGTAACGCGCCTTGCTCCGCAAACGCTGGTGTTCCGCTGTCACCCTGCTGCTCGCTTTGCGTTATTATGGGGCTTTTTTTGTGGTTGTTGAGATGTCTAATACCGTTGGTGCTCACGCAGATGCAGCGGGGCTGGATGGGGCGCTTCCCCTCGGCTGTCGCTCAGGGTGGCTGAGCTGGGGGGGAAGAAGGAGGACAGCAGGCTGTCAGCTGTGCAGGTCCTGCATGCCTGCCTCCCTCCGCAGCCACTGTCAAGCACACTTCTAAAGCTTTGTGCTACGTGTGGAACAAATGCATAGTAGGAGCTATAACTTAAAAAAAATAATAATCTGCTCCTGTTAAAAAAAAGCACGTAGATCAGGTAATTATATGGGGAGCGTGTTTCCTAAGACCTGACAGAGAAGGGGTGCTCACATGCTGGCACCTGCTCTCAGAAATGAGCTTGCATGCATGTATAGAGCATTATGGATTTCAGTACAGGATTATTAATGGTTTTCATGGATCTCTGACTGTGGAACGTGTGTGCTGATCTGAGTATTTTGTTCGCGATGTTTTTTGTGTTAGCTTAGGTGTCATCGGTTGGCGTTGCACGAGCCCACAGAGATCGAGGGCAGGCAAGCGTGTATCTTCTGTTTACTTGAAAACTGTTTTGAGCCCTCCCTTCCCCCTTTTTTTAAACAGGGGGATGGCTTTGATATGGGTGATGCCCTGGATAAAAGCCATTTGGTAACTTGTGTGGGCTTTTTTTTTTTTTTTTTTAAAGTTCATGCTTTTCAAAATACAACCTTTGCCTTGACCCATAGCATACACCTCCTTCCTGTGGCAAGAGCACATTGACGTGTATTTGACTTGTTAAGTATGGATTTCTGGTGTGGTGTGTGCAGGTATAATACCCTTTCCAATCCTGTTCCTTTACAAACAAATTTGGCTTAGTTCCAGGGTTCAGATGGCAGAGGTGTATGGTGACAGTTGAAGGCCGAGAAGAGCTTGTTTTAGAAATCAGTAATGATTTGGGTGTGTCAGTTTTTGTGTGCCCCACTTGTACCTAAGGGTCCTTCAGCCCCCTCCCACTGGAAAGCATTGAACTCTTTGCCTTCCGAAATCACTGTTCGGTAAGATTTGTCAAAATTACTTTTCAAATTTGCTGGTCGCTTTGGAAGACAAACTCTTCTTGTTCCCTAAACACTTCTTGTTCCCTATTTTCTTGCCAGCTCCAATGTTACCTTTACTGCTGGGGTTATAATAATTCATAAAATGACACTGCAGAAGTGTGCTATTTTAAGTTCTGTAGCCACTATAGATTGGAACCTTCCATAACTTTCTTCACACGACTTAAAAGTAATGTGTGCAAAACATACCAAGTACTGAACTTTTCTAAGTTAGTTTTTGGACTCTGTTTATCTTCTGGCTTGTCACTTATTTACTTGAAGGTTGAGGAACATTTTTAGAAGTGCCTTTCTCTCTCTCTGTCTTGTAAATCCATAAACCTTTTCCCTGTATTGAAGATACGGGGTGGGGAGGGGTGAGCTTCAGCAAGAGATTAATAATAATAATAATAACAACAACAACAACTGTACCGAAGTATTCAAGGTGCTCTCTGTTGCTAGAGTAGAATTTTTGAATCAGTTTCAAACTCCCAAGTGGATGCACATTGTGGGCTTTTTTTTTTTACTAGAATCAAAAAGTACTCAAATACGTTGGTCTACATTTGGCTTGACTGTCTGGTTTGTGGCACGTACCTACATGAAGCTCAGGTTCTGTTTTAGCTCTTTCCTTTGTTCAAAGCAGAGTAAGGTAGAATGTCTCTAAGATACACCCCTACGTTGCTTTTCCTAAATAACAGAACTGTGTGTTGTTTGCTTCTAAAAAGCTATTTATTCCAAAGGTATTTAGAGGCTAACGAATCTTGAATGAAAAATTGTGAAAACAATTTCTAAAAGGAGCTAGAAGCCTCTTAGGAAAGTATAGAAAATGGTTAGGTCTTGTGAAGTTGTGGTGTGACCGACTGGCTGCTGGCAAGGCTGCGTGACCCCTCCTGTGTAACTGCCTGTGGTGTGCACTGAGGTGCTGCCATCGCTCCTGCATACAAGCTTCTTTCTAATAACTGTCAATTGTAAGGCATCTATCTCGGGTCTTGAGACGCTGGCCAGTAATGGTGGATAGAGAGGTTTGTAACCTAGCAAATGAGGTTGTTGCTAAGGTAAATATTTTAAAGTAATTATTTCCAAGATTAATTCCTAAATTTGTGTTGACTAGTTCTAACAGTTATTGGGGAAAAAAAGATACCTGCAGTTCTATTACAGCATTATTTGCGTGTTAACAGGTACCTTTTTCTTCCCTAATTGTTTCAGTGCGAACTGTGAAAAAATAGTAAAGGCTCTCAATGCTTTTCCCTATATACTATCCTGTAATTTTGTTCAGTTAATCACTTCAAATTTTGAGTCTTTTGAATAAGACAGTGTTGTGGAACACTCCCATTTTCAGAAAGATTAGGCCTGACTTGCTGGCAAACACAGTTGAAAGCTGACGTGTGGCATTCATATTTCCAGTGCAAGGCTGTCACTTATGTGTATGGCTGTGCAAAACCAGCTCTGAATACACAGTTATATTGATCAGCTGTCTGGAAAAACAGTCCAATAAATTGTAGCTAGTTGGACAGTTTATGTAAACACATAACAGCGTGTAACTAGCTGTCTAAAGATTTAGGTAAGGTAAACGTGTTGAAATAGTAGAGATTTTGGTTAAAAGCTAAGTATTTGTTCAGTCAAATATTTGAGTGTTTTCAGGTTTTTTATTTTTATTGAGAAACATACTTTCTTAGTTGATGCTATTTACACATATAAAAAGATAACGACATAATTAAAAAATAACCTACAGCAGTATTGTTTTTGATTTCAAGATAAATTTCTTAGAAAATATGCATAATGTTTGCTAACATTCACCAGTGCTGAAATACTGACGTTCAACAAGTGGCCAGTTTTTACTCCCACAGAGTTAATGGTGCTATTGTATACATTATATTCTGGCCTATCTTTAATATTTTCCCTTATTCTAAGTTTTCAGACTCGCAGTTCTATGTAATGTTTGTATTAGAAGTTGCATTGGGTGTTTGCATTACAGGTACTCTACTTTGTTCTGGCACTCTTAACTTTGTGACTTCTGAAGTATCACTGTAAATATATTGTCTAGCGCTGCCTCGAAGTTGCTTTGCACCAGTTGGATTCAGCTTGCATATCTTACATCCTCTGGGGACTTTGTCAACAGACAGTAGTGCTAAAAAGAACAGATAACACAGAAGATGAATAAAAAGTTTTACAGTATTTGTGTGATGCTACTGTTAACACATGACATACCTTTAAAGAGTTTAATTGGATTTGCCTTGACAGGGTACTTGGTAGCAAAACTTGAGGCTGTAGAAGGATGTGTGGGTTGGGGTTTTGGAGGGGATTCTCTGTGTGTGTGTTTGTGTCCCAAGGGCAGTGGTAAATAATGTTAGTAGTATCACAGTTAAAAAGGAAGAAAAAGTATTTGGGATACTGAAATGGCTGTTTTACAGCTTTTGGTGAGTTTAGATTGAGCCTAGCTAAAAGGTGACACAAGAAGAACTGCTTAAGCCAGAAGCCTTAAGTGTAACATAACCCAAAAATAAAGACTTGCACGTAAGTTCAGCCTGTCTTCTTGTAGGTTTCTATGATTCTTGTGCCAAAGGAAAGAGTCCAGTTCATATGCACTTCCCGGGTAGGAGATGTGGATTTTGGGACTCTGTAGGGAGCTAGTTAGTTTTCAGAAAAATCTGCAGCCAAAGGCAAGGACCCAATTATGTGTGACTTTAAGCAGGAAAATCTGTCATTAGTACTCCTGATGAGGAACCTGGGTTAAATAGAAAACACTGAATTTTTAAATATTCAATATACACTGTTTTGAAGTACTGATGGAAACTTTGCCATGAAAGGGAGAGAATCCTCTGACCCCCAGAGGAGGGGTGTGCACATGGACATGCACACACTTGCAGGCTGCTGAATTGGTTGGCACAGAATTGAGCAGGCTTCAGCTTATTTGATTTAAGGGTTCCCAGCATGTTGCCCAGGATTACAGAGGATACCATGAAATAAAATCATAACTACTTTAGGAAGAAAATAGCTTAAAGCCATACGTCTTTGCTACAGGAATTCTATTACGTTTTTTTTCACGTGAAGTTTGTCAGCTTCTCAGGTCTTTTAATCTCTTTTTTAAAAGAAGCTAAGTGCATTAAGGCAGGTGCAAGCTCATTCTCTGCAGGCTTTGAACTCACCAGAGGACATGTAGCTATAGTAATGCAGCTGTCTGCCTGAGATAACTTACCCTGTGTCTCTTCAGCTCTTACTTGCTCAGGCCCTTGCATGGTGTCAGCCACAGTAGCGTGATTTCTGTGTGGGTTGGAGCATGAACAGAAAGAGCTGAGTGTAGTGTGAGCAGAGCAAGTATGTGTATCTGCAGCAAAACATGTAGCCAGACTGAGTGCCTAACTGGGGGAAATCTGATAAAATCCTAATCAATTGTGTTGTTTTTCATCATGTACTCTGAAGTGTGTAAATCAAATGCATGGGTGGTGCTTGATTTGCTGTTGCGTTATTCCATACATACAAATGTTTCACATAAGTGAAACAAGCACTTTTGTGCACAGACTTCTGATTTCTGGTGAAACAACAAGGTGTGTGCGTGCCTTCTTAACGTATCTTCTGTTAGAGTAGTTGCATGCGTTTTGGATTTAGTGAAGACATGTACATTGAAACATAGGTTGCAGTTGAATTCACTATGTACGTCATGTGTAAAAATGAATTATTCAGGAAAAATCCATAGACACAAATCTTCTTGCTTCCTGAAAAAGCCTCTTAAAACAGTACTCTCTCCTTACTCTGTAGCTGCATATGTAAGCTGTAAGGTAGAAGTGCAAGGATGTGACTCGAGTGCAAATCCTTTTCTTGTATCCGTCTGATAAGATCCACTGTCGCTCTCTGTCTCG